CATCACAGCCTGCCCTGGGCTGCTGAAGTTTAGTTTTGTTTAGCAACCTGGGAGATTGCTTGTACTTGGGCCTACTCCAGAGGGACCACTTATGTCCGTTATGTCTTTAGACCCTGTCCAGCTAAATGACTGGCTCTCTGGTCAGCATGGCTATGTAAGAGCAAATTGTTAGCATTTTGGCTGAAGTTGCATTCTTGTCTGAGGGAGCCTTGTCTGGCTGCTCGCCAAGCTCTAAACCTAACGATTCGGTTGTTTTCCTCTGGACGGTTCGGTTCGGTTCGGCTTGTGAAAACAACAGTTCGCAGACGGTTCGGTTCGTACGGTTCGGTTCCACGGTTCTCGGTTCGATTCCTGGGTTCCCTGTGTGTCTTTGTGTTTTGTGTGTGTGTGTGGTGTGTGTGTGTGTGTGTTTGTGTTTGTGTTTGTGTTTATGTTTATGCGTGTGTTTGTGTTTGTATTTGTGTTTGTGTTTGTGCTGCGCTTGTGTGTTTGTGTTTTGTGTGCGTGTGTTTATGTTTTTGTGTTCTGCTTTTCTTGGCGTGTGCGTGTGTGTGTGTGTGTGTTTCTGTGTTTGTGTTTGTTGGTGTGTTGTGTTTGCGCTTGTGTGTGTGTTTGTGTTTGTCTACTTTTCTGTGTGTGTGTGGTTGTGATTGTATATTTGCCTCTGCTTGTTCTTGTGCTTGTGCGTGTGCACGTGTGTGTGTGTGTATGCGTGCGTGCGTGCGTGCGCGCGCGCGCGCGTGCTGTGTGTGTGTGTGTGTGTGTGTGTGTGTGTGTGTGTGTGTGTGTGTGTGTGTGTGTGTGTGTGTGTGTGTGTGTGTGTGTGTGTGTGTGTGTGTGTGTGTGTGTGTGTGTGTGTGTGTGTGTGTGTGTGTGTGTGTGTGTGTGTGTGTGTGTGTGTGTCTGTGTGTGTGTCTGTGTGTGTGTCTGTGTGTGTGTCTGTGTGTGTGTCTGTGTGTGTGTCTGTGTGTGTGTGTGTGTGTGTGTGTGTGCGTGTGTGTGCGTCTGCTTGTGTGTGTGTGGGTGCGTGCGTGCGTGCGTGCGTGCGTGCGTGCGTGCGTGCGTGCGTGCGTGCGTGCGTTTCTGCATGCGTGCAGGGTGGGTGGGTGGCTAGGTGGGTGGATGGTTGTGTGCGCGTTTTCTGTGTTTGTGTTTGCCTTTGCGTTTGTGTTTGTATTTGTCTTTCTGTGCTTGTGTGTGTTCGTGTGTGTGTTTGTGTGTGTGTTTGTGTGTGTGTGTGTGTTTGCGTGTGTGTTTGTGTGTGGGTGTGTGTGTGTGTGGGTGTTTGTTTGTGTGTTCTGTGCGTTCGTTGGGTGGGTGCCTGTGTGCGTGCGTGCGTTTGAGCGTTTGCGCGCGCGTGCGTCTATGTGCTTGTGTCTCTGTGTTTCTGTGTCTCTGTGGCGCTGCTTCTGTGTTTGTGTGTGTGTGAGTGTGTTTGTGTGTGTCTGTGTGTGTGCGCACGTGCGTGCTTGGGGAGCTCATGAGGACAGCCATGATGACAACATCATGCTGCGCAAAGATGGCTCCTTGTTCAGGGTGGACTTTGGTTACGTCTTTGGAGCGTCGCCTGCTTTGGATGCACCACCGACTCTGCTGCCAAACGCGGTGTTCGTGGCGCTGGGGGAGGCAAGGTGGGAGGGTAGAAGCATTGTCCAACCACAGCCAGCCAACAAATTGTTCCCAATCCCGAAGTGTTGTTTGACACATGCTTAAGCTGCTTCTGATAATTTAATGAATGTGGTTTGACTGTGATGATTGGGCCATTCTTTCGGTTTCTTTCCCTCAGACAAGCAGCAAACCCCTGGCTCCACCGGCGATTGGCACCACGAGCCCAATGTGTAAGGCTCGGTGGCGGGAGGTGGTTGTGGTCTGCGAGCGCGCGCTCATGGCTATCTCCGGAAACTCTGGCTCGGAGCCACCGGGCTGGGCCTGCGTGCGCCAGGTGGGGTACAGCAACGAGCTTTGTGAGCATTTGGACTTACATGTTGGAAAGACCATTTTGGTGGCAAACACAGTTTGAACTTGTTTGGCCAGTCAACTCAAAAAAGCACGAAATGTTTCAGAAACAGGGCTGTTTTGGGGGAGGACCTTGGGAGTGTCCTCCTTTCTCCATGCGCCAGGTGCCGGACATGGCCCTGTTGCATCACGAGGCGCAATTCGGGACCACTCACTCTTGGATCGGGACTCGGGACTCTTGGGAAGAGTTTTGTTTGGACTCGGAGGGAAGATTGGAATCCCATAGATGAAGAGGCCGGACTTGATTGAGTTGACTTTATCACTCTACCTGTTCATGGCAGAATGGGGCAGAATGGGGCAGCGGTTCCCTGAGGCGTTTGCCTATGTCAAGACCTTGTCCCTGGAATCCTTTCGAGAAGAGGTGCGCCGCGCAACGGAGTGGTCCATGTCTCGCGCCGCCAAGAATCGGCTGAGAGAGGTGGTACGCTTCTGGAGACATGAGGAACCTGAAGAAAATCCCCGGGCCAGGGAGATCAAGCAGATT